GAGTGTGCCATACACAAGTAGATGATGGGATTTATGCTTTGTTAACAACATGAATTATCCAATTGCAAGTGCCAAGGAATAGCTTGTTCAAATCAACACATCACAAGCTCCTCTCTTTCTACAAATCAGATACAATCAGTGTGACCGTCCACGTATATGTTACAACAATCTAACAAGTTTCACGAACAAGAATCTTATTAACTTTTAACACCATTTCTAAGGTATCAAGTCAACATTCGTCGAGTGCAAACATTGGCAACAAAGAGCCCTTCACATTGAAATGTAACTCAAGACAACTGTCTTTGTGATATATAATTACGGCAGAGACACCCTGGCAATACCCATGTACAAAGGCACCTAAAGATGCCAGAGCAACAACAAATACGAAGTGCCACTGTCATCATCACTACGGGAACAAGAAGATCAATGACAATTGCTACACCTACTCTACAACAAGAAACAACATCGACAATGACCATATAGAAAACCTGCAGTGCGTCGAGTGCGAAGCTTGGCGTTGGATTACACTCAAGCAAGAATTGTATGTAAACCCCCTGCATGCACGGGCATAATTGTTCAGTTAGAAGTATTCTACACTTCCACTTGATCATGGCTGGTACTCTTCAATATATTGTACTTGCAGAGAGGACAGGTAGCATTGATATAAAGCCACTTATCAATGCAGGAACAGTGAAAATGATGGCCACAAGGAAGTTGCCTTAGCTCCACTCCATCATCGTAAGAAGAAAGGCAGATGCAACACTCCTATAAATCACAATGATCATCACTTAGATGCGACAAGAATCTTTTGAGCAGTCCAAAAAGATTTTGCTAGTCCACTAATTAACTGGGATTTGTTATATGAACATAAAAGGAAACCAAGTACATAACAGGTCATGTACACAACATCCTCTTTTGCTAACACAACTCAGAAAGTGAAGAAGATTAGTTATCCAAAAAAAGGGCCCACTCACCGCATCGTCCTGCGAAAGAACATGTTCAATGGGTGAATCTGTTCCACATTCAGTCATTACTCCTCCACCTTGTGTATCACCTGCAACCTTCTCATTGCCAACTTTTCTGAATTTGAATTTTGACAACTGCTCAATGTCTTCCTTGGATGCTCCATCCTGCTTCAACAACAGGTCATAGAAACACAATAGAGAGGACAAGAAAGCCATTAAAATTTAATATAAGATTCTTAAACCTACACAACAATAAATTTACAGATCAGGTAAACTATACTTCCAACAACAAAAAATCATGCACAACCTCTTCAAAGTTGATCCAATTAAAACAGAGTCAGCAAAATTGGATCAAACGAAAAGAATTGATAAAACAGAAATAATTCTATTGTCCCCAAGTGCTTCAAGGCCAACTACTATACATCAAGTTTTCTAACTCTTGAACACCAACAGAAGGAGAAAGATATAAAACCATTTGAAAACTATTATTAGCACTCCAAAATAGTCATTGTAATAGTCATTCTACACTCTGTCCTTATTTTTTTTCATTAGAGAAGAGTGCATGATGACTATTTTGGAGTGCCAATAACAGCTCTCAATCATAATGGTTGCACAGGTGCTCTGTGGAGAGACCGTGAAATGCAACTGTCTAAGATGAGTATCAAAATGTAAGCTAAATATACCAGACAATAGCAGACATTGGTTTAACTCAGTGCACATTATTTTACCACAACAGGAACTTGCTTGTTTCATTGAAATCATGAAGGCAATCAACTCTATCAACTTTCTTTCATTCAGCCATACAAAACATTTGTGCCGGCCTTTGCACCCCCACCCCAGATAGAGTTATTTATGCTAAATAGGAACCAATCCCATCATAGTTAAGTTCGATTAAAGAGTCCAAAATCCTCCAACCAAGGATCTTAATATGTTCATATCTCCATTCAAACTAACAAAACCCAATTAATTTTTATAATACTTAATTATTAGGTAAATATTGTTTCCTTCCATAGAACAACAGAGAATGATTCAGTTTCTGGTTTCAATTTGTAACCATTTACATCATACAAATATCGTACTTCTCAAACAGTATTGCATTAATTTCACAAAACCTAGAGAGTGGTAATGATAGAAGACACTGATAGTTATGAACATGGAACTCAACACACACAGAAAAGAGGTAAGAATACACAAGAACTACCTGGTCTGCCACAGCGTATAAAAGTGCAATAATACATGGAAGACAGCAACAAACAGCGATACCAATGATACATGCCAGTGCAACACAGAAAACGACAAAAAACACGTCAAAACCCAGGAAAATTATACATAGCCTGCAGAAAAGCCACATTGCCATAGTTAAGACTTTGTTAATGTCTTGATTTTCAAATAAATGGATGTGAGAGAGAGAGAGAGAGAGAGAGAGAGAGAGAGAGAGAGCACAAACCAGTAAAGCTGAGGGGAGGCACGCGCTAAAGCTTGACCACCTGCTGATACCCAGTAGAACCCAATGATCCACCAGATGAATGAAAACATTGTATTTGCAGATTCCAAATGCTTTGCAACGCTGCTGAGAGATTAAAGCAAAAACATTGAGCACATAAACGAAATAGTCCAAAATAAATCATCCAATTTCTCACACAGTACCAGCTGCAAATAAACCAGCATCCTTCCCTTTCCAGTGGAAAACCAGTTCAGTAATCAACAACAGAGTTTAATATGCATACATATAGTCAATGTTACACATAACTAGGGATTTTAGAAAGTATTAATCGAAAGAAAACCAAAGTCATCGCTCATCGCTCATCAACAAGCCTTAAAAAGCCAAGAAGAATCATAAAACTAATCCTCTACTCTACTCTGCATGCAATTCATGTTAAACAACATAATGGGTCAACGTACACATAAAATCTTATTCTGCTAAAAGTTTTTTATTTTGCTCCAAATCAAATGCCAGAATTTTAAGCAAACACTCGACAATTGTCACAAGAAGATCATAAATTGCAGCAACTAACAACAACCCATCAACAAACATCACATAGAGAAGCATGAACATTTCAAATGCATTACATAACAAAAAGTCATTTGTTACCTGGTACCCTCCTCATTCATATGATCAGCCAAAGACACGTACTGCGAAGACGAATCCTCCTCTCTCGACCCAGAACTCAAGTTCCCACCACTCCCTACTCCTTCCTCCGTCACCCCCAAAACCCGGCTTCTCTGTCGGCACTGCCTTCTCCGAAACTCGACACAAACACAAACCATATGAACCACACACTGCAAAGCGTACCCCATGATCCAGAGCCTCAGGGGCATATTCGGCAATTCGTATCGGCTCAGAACCAGGACCGTTGCCGCGACGACGACGAAAGCGAAGTTCCAGATGATGTCGAGAACCACCACGGGCTTCGAATACGCCCAATCGCTCTGCCTCTCCTCCAACTGCTCAGCCGCCGTCTCGCGAACCAGCATCGACGGCTCGCGCATGAGCCGGCGGCTGCTGGCTTGGCGGAGAAACCGCGCCGCGTCGCGCAGGCTCTGGCGGCGCACGATTCGGTGGCGCCCCGAGTTGGACTCGTCGGACGACCCTCCCGAGTTGCTAAGCAACGGCGTCGTATCGACGATGTCGTCCACGGATCGGTTGGGTGAGGTCATTTCGGGAATTTCGTATTGGAACTTTTATTTTTCAGCGAGCTTGTGGAATTGAATGCCCTAACTGGGTGAGCCCATGCAGAGATCTTCAAAACGGTGCGTATTGGCGGAACCTGTGATCAAATGGGCGGAGGTTTTGTGGCGGTGAGAACATGGGAAAGGTTGCATAAGACAACGCCGACGATGCCGACTATGTCGTTCGAATACAGACACGGCTTTGGAATTGGAATTACCTTTTTTCTTTCTTTTCTCTTCTTTTCTTTTTTGTCTTCTTTCTTTTTTTTTTAATAAATTTGTTTCCTTTGACCAGGGCTAGGTAAATTGATTTGACCATACCGTACACGGTTCGTTCGGTAATTACAGTTAACTGCGGTAATATTTGTTTGTGGTATGGGATGGGAGCGGAGTCGATTCAGTCGAAGCCAACTGGCGGTTGAGATTCACCGCTTAAATGCTTCGCTGTACGGTGGATAAATAAGTTCCAATAATTTAATTAACTTTTGAATACAATTTGCCAAAAAAACAAAATTAGCTTCTGACTACAACAATATGTGATTCGTTGTAAACTTTTTAGTGAATACAACATACAAATAACATAGTGATCGCATAAACTTGCTTACAGTGACCATGGATTTGATTCCCCCTTTTTCAATATCTTTTTGTATATGAACCAATTTGCGAAGCTTTCATTCTTTTTCTTTCTTCTTTCCTTTTTGTTGTACATCAGTAAATTTTAACCAATATTTATTAGGAGTTTTACCATATAAGGACAAATAGGAGGGCGCCAAAACAAAATGATCCAACCCCATAAAAATTAGACAAATCGGTTTAGTCACTGTCCAGCAATGGCATAAAGAGTTATTTCATGTCATTGTTGAACATTGACTGGACTGGTTTGTCCAATTTTGGAGGAGCTCGACCATTTTAACATTATGTCTTGTGTGAATGACTTTATTTATTTATTTATCATTTTATGTATTTATTATTAAAGGATCTACACCCTAGCTTGCATTTGAGACAAAATCAAACTATCATAGAAAGTAAAACAAAAACAATTTATATTTATAATAATCAAGCCTAAAAAAGTAAAATCCAATTTTATCATACAAATAAATAGCATTTGTCAATATCATTGGTTAAAAATTTCCCCCAAAAATTCTTTGGGGCTTGTACTATTTTTCTGTAACCTCCATTTCTCCGAAAAACCTTTAAAAAAATTCCAACATTTTTCTAGCACTTCCAATAAATCCAAAATAATTTAACTTAATTCCAAAACATTTTTCTAAGATTACAAAATTTTATCGGGGCTAACAACATGGATGCGTACAACTCTAGATAGATTTACCGGTGAGGCCCAAACTTTTAGGGCTTGAAATCGACGATAACCAAAGCCCGCTCAATCTTTAGTTGCCATTTTCTGGCCCAGAGAAAGGCGCGACCTTTGGTCAGTCAGTTGAAGTTAAATTGGTAGCCGAAGCATTAGGGTTTTAGACTTTGGACAGGGCTCTCGGATTTTGCAGAGCAGCAGCGGCGCCGGCGGCGACACCAGAGCTTTAAGCTTCGACCACCACATAGCAGAGCAGCCATGGTTCTGAAGACCGAGCTCTGTCGTTTCAGCGGCGCCAAGATTTACCCCGGAAAGGGAATCAGATTCATCCGCTCTGATTCTCAGGTCTTCCTCTTCGCCAACTCCAAATGCAAGAGGTACTTTCACAACCGCCTCAAGCCCTCCAAGCTCACCTGGACCGCCATGTACCGTAAGCAACACAAGAAGGTACCTACACAAAACACACATTCACGAAACGATGCGTTTCGTTTCGAATCGATTGAATATTCTAAGCTCTTGTGTGTTGTGATTTCAGGACATTGCTGCTGAGGCTGTGAAGAAGAAGCGACGCTCAAACAAAAAGCCTTATTCGAGGTCCATTGTTGGTGCCACATTGGAAGTTATTCAGAAGCGAAGGACAGAGAAGCCCGAGGTCCGTGACGCCGCCCGTGAGGCCGCTCTCCGGTAATGCTCTGCTGCTTATTTGATCAACAGTGATAGAATCTATATTGAGTTATTTGATCAACAATGATAAAATGTAGATTGGGTCATTTGATCAACTTGATAACATCAAATTTGGGGTATTTGATCAACTTGATAAAATCAATTTTGGGTCATTTGATCAGCTTGATAAAATCAAATTCTGGTTTATATTTTATAAAATCAATGATGGATGTGTGTTTATGCGTATTTGTCAGTGAAATCAAGGAGAGGATTAAGAAGACTAAGGATGAGAAGAAGGCAAAGAAGGCTGAATTGGTGTCCAAGTCAAAGGGTCAGTCCAAGGGCAATGTGCCCAAGGCTGCTGCCCCCAAAGCCCCTAAGCTTGGAGGTGGTGGTGGAAAGCGATAAGTTTTCGTCTTCCCCCCATCCTCAATATTTATTCTCCTTACCATTTTGCCTAGACGATCGACATATTTTTTTGTTTCGATTTTATGTATGGATTGATTGGCATTGTTGGCCACTCCAATTTTGGATATTGTTGCATTAGTGAAGGTTTATCATTTATATTTTAATGCCCTTGAGTTCAGAAAAAAATATATCTTTTATTCACAGCTGATAAACTTGTTTTGTCAACCTGGAAAAGTTGAGTCGTTTTAGACATTCGTTTTGGTAATTTGTATGTACAAACCCTCTGAGTATGACTTGATAATGAACTTGTCTGGTGGGTTTGGATTATATGGTGGGATGTTTGGTAGTCTAAAAACATGGATTAGACCCAAGGTTGGGATTAAGTTGGATTGGACACCCAGCATGACCAATAGGTGAATTGAGTCATGTTTCTCTCGAAATTTGGGCAATACAAATCCAAGGTTTTTTACAGAGAGCTGGTATTTTTCACCGGATTATTTTGCTAAATATTGTTTATTTCGTATGAGATGGAAGCAAATCAGTTTAAGGTTCCGTATTTTTAATTGAAATCAAGTGCGCTTTCAAGACTTTGAAGCACTTATTCTAAGATTTTCTGAACTTTTTAAACTGTTTTTGGTTGTCATAAAGTCGCTTTTAGTCTTTCGACAAGCAGTCTCAAATAAGTTTCCATCCAGATTGTATGCATAAACTTATGCTTGTAACTTCGGATGTCACTATCGACTTCTAGTTTAAAGTTCATAGATCGGTGAAGACCGATAATCTTATGTATTTATCTGTCACATTACTGAAGAGATACAAAGTTTCCTGCAATAAAGAGGTATGTGTCTTACGTGTGTATGAGTAATTGATGTTGTCCTGTATAATAGATGAGAAAAAATGTATACTAGATTTAGTGACTTATCCAATCTCATCTTAAGAACCAAACGAGGCTTAATGTTATACAAAGCGGTTTCTTTAACTGACCCATATCTCTGTGTCACATGAACAAGGATCTTGTTGCTTAATGACACTCAAATCTTGTTACTCATGTGAGCAAGTTTCAGAAAATATTAAATTATTACTTAGCATGAACAAATTAAAATATGCCAGCCAAAACTGTAGAGAAATAGGTAAACACTTGTCATTCTGGACTTGTACCAGTAGAGAGGAGGAGAGAATATGTGAGAGAAAACATCAAGGGAAATTTTAGAGTATTTAGAGAGCCCTCATATTAGCTGTTTGTTTTTATTTTATTTTATTGCGCAAGCTGTAAATACTTGGTGGGAGGGCAAATAGTATTTGATTATTCGATATCAGCAAGCAACGGCTATATCTTGCAGTATCAGCAAAAAGGGGCAAAACACAAATGCAATAAAGGTCAACCTTTTAGCAGAAAAGTACTAATAGTGGTTTGGTTTGCTTAATTGCACACGGAAAGTTAAAAACCTTTTTCCGTTTGAAGTTTTTGTGAAAACCAAGTTTGCTAAACATACTCGTCCTTGTTCGTGAGTGATTCTTAGCTCTTTCTTCTAGTTGTTTACGCGTGTATAGAGGATTGTTGAAAGTGAGTGATTCTTAGCTCTTTCTTCTAGTTGTTTACGCGTGTATAGAGGATTGTCAATGTGACGAAAGTCATTCTGTTGGTTAAAAAGAGCCAACAACATTAGCTTAGGTGAAAAGCAAATTTAAGGTTTAAATTTCCATGGAAGCAAAAGGCTAGCAGCTTGAAATAGGCCAATAGGGTCATCTTCAAAAATCTCATGTTTGGCTCATGGAAGAACCATTCTTATTCTGTATGATACTAATTAAATCAATTAAGCACGCAGTCTTTTGATACTCCTCCTCCATTAAATACTTTAAATCATTTAATTAAATACATAATTATAATAACTTGCCAAGCTGAACAAACACACAAGAATGGCATGCACAGATGGCAAAAGAAAAAAACAAAAAAAACAGGGACCAAAAAGGGGAGCATGTAGCTTCTAAGCAACTGTCTCTACCTTCAACTCTTCGAAGCCCAACAACCAGAATGTCACACCATGCTGTGTGTTGCCAGCTTTTGTCTTGTTTGTGTCAAAAGGGATCATACGTACGCGTAAGCTTTGCTCATGCATTGTCCACCACCTCAACCCAAACTTCGTGCCTACTTCTCACCAAATTACCCAAATAGTTAAAACCGTGTAGTTTTAGACGTAAGCACAAAATGGACGTTAAAAAACTTAGTAGAGAATACAAGTCTAAATAAATTAGGATTGTTTCGTTTGAGATTTTTCGGTTTTTATTTTTATCTTTTATTTATATAACTCGGCACCGAATAAAATGGAAAACTCAATTTTTGTTACTTGGCTTGGGTCTATTGATTAAAGATGTGAATCCATTTGTTGAAGTTATGTTAAGCGCTGGCTTATTTTGATTTTATAATCGCATTTTGTGGGGCAGGTAGGTTGGTTGTTCTTACTTCACTTTGATGGTATGTTGTTGTCATGTTGACTAAGTTCTCCAAACAAAGAAAGAAAGAGGAAGCAAACGTTTATGCATGGAGTGTCATTTGGCCTTGACGTTGTGAACCTTTCATTTTAATATATATCAGAATGAGTCTTTGCTCAATATTTTTTCATATCACGTAATGTATAAAGTAAAAGACAACAACCGAACAGTTGTACTTCGTATAGTTGATTTTTATTATGGTATAAATACAACACAATGCTCAAGTTGACGTGGATTAAGGCAGTTATTCATGACACTGTATTATTCTATTTTGTAATCGAGTTCGGTTTTCTTCTATGTAAATTAGGGTAATTTAAAGTAATTTGAATTATATACCGTACATATGAAAATTGAGAATATAATCCCTAGGATTACAAAGATTTCCTTGGCACAAGCAATTAGAAGCATGCGTTTTCACTTTTTAGCCACTTTGTCTACATTCGAGCAGTTTTTTCAGAAGTGAAAACCTAAAAAAAACAAAAAGCTTTGGAATTTGCGAAGAGTGTTGGAACCAAAGAATATATTATCAGTTTCCAACTTGAGGAAGGATTCTAGTGTACCCAAAGCTAAGTTCTGGTTTAGGGTTCTACAATAATATAAGTGGGGATCAATTTATGGTGGGTCTGGTCTTGGAATATATGTTATTCGTGGCACAGCAAATCAGACGTATGTGGAAAATTCTTAGGTATGATACGATTGCGTGACTAGATCACTCGTATATTTAAGTCTAATTTGGTTTTATGGGTCATATCATTTTGAATGTGTTGTTGTATATGACAGATGGATGCAAGAATTTCTCGGTTGTTAACTTAGGTTTTCTCTATTTTTAGAAGCAAATTTTGTTAAATCATGCTTTGGAAGTCCCTCCGATTTGTGGGCTTTATAGGGAATCATGAAGATGCTTATGCTTTATTACCTTTTAAGAAAGATTAGTCAAATCTTCATCACGACCTATAATCAAGTAAAAGGTTAATTAAAAAAGAAGGTCATCATCCCAATTGTATATGAATTTTTCCTTTTAAATCATTTTGCTTGTTGTAATACATCAATTAAATTCAATGAAGTGAATTTTAATTAAAAAAATATTTAATTAATAATTTTTTTTAAATGTTAATTTATATATATAAAGTAAAAAGCAGAGAATAGTGAAACATTTAAAATATTAGAAAATATATTTATAAATTATAAAAATAAATAATTTTAATTGATGTTGTTGTCAATCTCATTTGTCACATCAGTTTATATAAGAGTAGCATTATTTTATTTATTTTGGAGAAGTGCTGAGTCATTGTCGTGTCCTCCCAAACCATTGTGCGATCTTGATGTTGTTGCGTTCCTACTATTTGAAGCCACGTGGAGGCATGATCCTTTCACTCGCGTTTTTGGGACTTAGTATTTTGATGGTGGCATGACAATGAGAAATCAATTTTCTAAAAAAATATTAAAATGGCAAATTTGTTATACTCTTTGGCTGCTGCCTTTTTTTGCCCTTCACAAGTTTGGAATTGAAAAATTAATCTGAATTTGATTATTCTAAAAAATGGCTCGATTGCGCAATGGAAAAGGAAGTTAAAGCGTTGAATTAATTTATCTTATTAGGAAGTTAAATAAAATTAGTTTTTCTTATCTTATTATTAAAAAAAAAAAAAAAAAAAAAAACTCAACAACATTACATAAAGCGAACCACATTATTTTATCATGTTTTGCTTAACAAATTAATATTCTTGAGACACACCAAGCATTGAATTGGAACAAATTTGATCAATCACGTGTGTTATATATATGAAAAATACTAGGGAGACCAACTTTAGATACCAACTTGTATACCAACTCTTTAATAGAACGTGTGACCCATTGTATTGGTGGGCTCCACCTCTATTAGAGAGTTGGTACACAAGTTAGTATCTAAAGTTGGTCTTCCTAGCATGATCCTATATATATACACACCCCACCAATGATACTAAACATTTCCAATTGGCAAGCACAAGAAATTACAAATATAAATGTCTAATAAAATAAATAAATAAAACAGTAGCAAATAACTTCCACATACAGGGACGGATCTACAAAGGAGCAATGACGGTCAAGTGACCCCTGCAACCTCTGAAATCTGTCATTAAAGGGGAGAAAATTGATCCCTGCAAAGTGTTTGATAAAAGTCCCCAAAGAGGCCAGACCTGGTTGCTCCAGCGCTGCTCGCACGCTTCTCTTTTTCTTTTTTTTCTCCCCTTGACGTCAAAACGATGTCGTTCTACTAATAGCTTTCTTTTTATATATAAACTTTGCCAAAACGACGGCTCAAGTTTTTTTTTTTTTTTTTTTTTTAAGGCAGACTCTGTTTAACAGAGAGCCCGATACTCCCCTCTCCCAAATTAGTTTCAGTTCATTTTTTTCAATTGCCGAACCCTAAATCCTCAAACCCCAAATCATATTGAACCAACCTTCAACTTCAACCAATCCAATCCAACCACCCCATCCGGCACCGGCCGACAGCAACGGCATCCTCATAGTGGTGGCAACAACAAAGCAAAAGAATAAGCCCCAAATTCAATTTAATTTCAATGGTGGATTTTTCATAATGGGACGTTTTCAGAATATGAAAACTCATCGTGGACAATTGTGATTTGGTTTTTTTTATTTATTAATTATGAATTATAAATTATCGTTTCATTTTTATGGGTTTATTTTTGTATAGAAAGTTTTTACCCTTTTAGACGTTGACCCCTGTAATGAAAATTCATGGATCCGTCCCTGTCCGCATAGAAGTATGGAACTGGTCCATATGCCCTAACTTTCTTTTTCATTTTTCTGTTGAAAAATGCTCTCTGCTTTTTTTTAAGATAAGGATTTAAGCAGGGATACCGATGTAATTTCACAAAAGTAAATGTGATTATTAATTAAGGAATATTAACAGCACCGCGTAATATAAATATATAAAATGACAGACAAGCCAAGTCGGCACAAAGCGCTCTCTCTCCTACATTCAAGAAATACAGAGAGAGAGAGAGAGAGAGATACAAAGCACTCTCTCCTCCTAAACATTATTCACATTACTTGTTCGACTGTTAAATCTACAACCTTCTTTGCCCACCCAACTCTTCTGCTTCCAAATCTCTCGTCTTTTCTTTTGCTTCATCCAAAAACACGTCTTCTACTCGCTTCCAAGTCACTTCTTAATCTCTGTTCCCATTTTTTTCTTCCACAATATAAACACCAACCCAAAAAACATTGGCCTTTCTCATTGCACAGAGAAAAAGCTTGAGACTTGAGAGACAGAGAAAAAGAAAATCAAACCATGGCTGATCTAGAACGAGCAGGAACAGGAAAACCCAGAGCCAACGACAGTTACAACCCAAACCAGTACTATGCGGGAACTCAAGAGCATCAATGGACATCCTGGTTGATTCCTATGTTTGTGGTGGCCAATATTATTGTCTTCATTGTGGCTATGTTTGTCAACAACTGTCCAAGGAACAATACTGGTATTGATGGCAAGTGTGTAGCCAAGTTTCTTGGTCGGCTTTCATTTCAGCCTCTCCAGGAGAACCCTCTATTTGGCCCATCTTCTTCCACGTGAGTTCTCTGACTTACCCATCTCTCAATTTGGTGATTTTTCTCGGTTTTTGGATTTGGGTTTGAGAAATATGATTGCTTTGTAATTGTAAAGTTTATGATTTTGGGGCAAATACGGTTTGCTTATTTGGTTGTGTGCAAGTTGAGAATTTACTGTTTTTCCAATGTTATATGATGTCCAGTATGTTACTAAGCAGCAGTTTATACTTCAATTTCTCATTTTGATATTTTTTTCCTTTTCAGTTTCTGATTGGGCATGCTCCCTTGAGTTTAGGATGATAGAATTGTTTGAAGTGCATGATTTTCTTCTGATTCTTCCTGTATTGTTTATTCTTTTTTGGTTTTTAAACTTCCAATCCTAATTCATAATGCTAGATTGGTCTGAGATTCTAACTCATTGATATCCTAAGTGTGAGTTTTTTTTCTAATTGCATTTGTGGGACTAGTTTTTTTTTTTTCCCCTTTTCAATTTGTGTTATTCTGCTTGGAATTTTTGTTATTCTAACTCATTGATATCCTAATTCATAATCCAGTAGCGTATGCCAGGACAAATTTATCTGAATGACCCTTTTTCTGACCACAAAGTGATGAACTTTTGTGTGATTTGAACAAAGGATATCGAATCCTGGAAATTAAAAAGCCATAGTTCAAAGACTGAATTTTTTTTTCGCTTCTTTATTTTTTAAGTTCCATTTATTTTTGCTTATTATACTTGGATGAAAGTGGTTTCCAGGTGTGTCTGGATGGGAAACTAATTTCTCTTTCCTTTTCGCTTTTTGGTTTTTATTATCTGATAAATATTTCCTGCTTTTGCAGATTGGAAAAATTGGGAGCTCTGGAGTGGTTCAAGGTTGTACATGGGCATCAAGGATGGAGACTTGTCACTTGTATTTGGTTGCACGCCGGTGTCATTCATTTGCTTGCAAACATGCTGAGCTTGATCTTTATCGGCATCCGCCTTGAACAGCAATTTGGGTTTGGTATGCCATTTTTCTTACCATGCCTTGAATTAAGGTTTTAAGTAAAATGAGGTCAATTTTAGGACTTCATGATTATGCATATTAAAAGGGGAGCCTTTTGTTCTTTACATTTAGAAGAGTGCGGATATGGGAACATTCTTATTTTTCTATATTCAACTCTTTTGAATTTATTCTAAATTATGTATGAGGCCTTTTTTATTTATAGTCTCCAGCATCACTTTACTGTGCTGGATGCATTTGTGCATTCAAATTGAATTAAAGGCAATTAAAATAATTGTTTTGTTCCCTGATGATAACCGTCTAGATATTTTAAGCCTTGTTCAATTTCATTATTAGTGTATTTTCCTTTGACATATTTTTAGAGCAATGATTTCCCCACTCCTATTTTATCCACTTACACTCCTTTTTTAGTTATAAAATAAAAAAGGAGTGTAAGTGGATAAAATAGGAGAAAAAGGAGTGGGGAAATCACCACTCTATTTTTATGATGGTTTTGTTGCATTCTAACATCAGTTCTGGATTGAATGATTTGGCAGTGCGCGTGGGGATAATCTACCTGTTGTCAGGACTTGGTGGGAGCATATTATCAGCCCTTTTTATTCAGCGCAATATTTCTGTTGGTGCTTCTGGCGCTCTGTTTGGACTTCTGGGAGCTATGTTATCGGAGCTTCTCACTAACTGGAGTATATACACCAACAAGGTTTGCTACCGATTTTCCGATTTTATAAAGTGAAGTTGATATTCTTTAAATGGATTTGATGTTTGCATTGTATCATGATTTTGTGTTTAGATCGGAATGTTTTACAGTCATTAACTCTTGCTGTTCTCTTGCCCTTCCAGGCTGCAGCTCTATTAACGCTTATAGTCATTATCGCCATTAACTTAGCAGTTGGAATTCTTCCTCATGTTGACAACTTCGCCCACATCGGAGGATTCTTGGCTGGGTTTCTCCTTGGTTTTATTTTGCTCCTTCGTCCTCAGTTTGGATGGATGGAGAGTCGGAATCTTCCAGCTGACACTCGTGTCAAATCTAAGCACAAGCCTTATCAATATATTCTTTTGTTGGTTGCCTCTGCCTTACTGATTGCTGGGTAAGCTTGTTGCTGGAATTCTAATTTATTATTTGAATTTTGCATGGTTTAGTCTCCATTGCATTTTAATCTGGTTCAAATCGGAGACCATCCCCATATTGTCGGTCTTTTTTTCATACTTTTTTGTTTCTACTGTCATGGATGAGTTTAAGTATACACATTAGCACATATGAAACTATTTCGAGATGAGTAATTTTCAATTTTCTTTGTTAAATGCAGATTAACTACGGGATTGGTGTTGCTGTTCAAAGGAGAGAACTTAAACAAGCATTGCAGCTGGTGCCATTACCTAAGCTGTGTGCCAACCTCAAGATGGAAATGTGGGAACTGAGAGATGGCCCTCCTCTTCTTTTGTCAACTTCCATACCTTGACTTGTTCATCTTGTCTCTGATTCTTTTCTTCTTTTATATAATATGTTTCTTTCGTTGGGAACCCTCGCTGATGTACATGCATAGAACACATGATATATTCTAGTTTGCTTGGTACATGGAGATATGTAGTAATATGTATATTTGATACAGAAGATGTCTTTCCGTTATATACATGAGATATTATTTTTTTCCTTCAAAATGGATATTTTCCTCCTTGTTCTGTTGGACTTGTGTTGCCCAAGTTATGAGCAGCTTTTCGCCAAACTTTTATCACCATAAGTTAAGGTTGCTGCCCATTCAGTATGGGGAAGACTTGCAAGAACCAACTATATTTACCGACTTATACACAATAGGAGACTTCCGTTTGACATTCCATTATGTGGGTGCTATGCTATGCCAAAGTCGAGCCACTTATAATTGTTATTTGATAAGATTTACAAAGTCAAGCTACTTATGATTGTTACTTGATAAGGTTTACCGACAAGGTTTACAACAGTATTAGTATGCGTAATGCTACCACAAGCGCTGATCAATGTCTGTGATAGGTGATATTTTAAACTACTCTAATCTATGTGAAGTTGAACTTAGTGTAAAGGGACAGACTCCGATTTCTTCAACTGGTCTAAATCACATGTGTTACTCTTATTATGTTTGTTTCCAGTTTAACTGTAACTTAAATCATACCCACATGTACCCTGCACTTGAGGTCTTAGGTTCGATTCACCCATCTTCCAATATCGCTTGTATAAGTAAAAAATAATAATCATACCCACGTGTGAAGAAGCTTCAAAAAGTGACCCAATTGGCATATGATTTAATGACCCATCTGCAGACCCAAAATCATTTGGTCCTAGTGCAATGCAAGGTTGATTCAATTCAACCCATTTTCTAGTCCCTAATTCTAAAGTTGACATCCAGGCAGTACAGCTGGCTGGAATTTTGCACATTGAAGTTTTCTTCCTTGGAGATGAAAGACTTTGCATTTGTATATAGAAAAAAGAACAGAAATCCATTGAACACAGACAAGTGCCTTGTTTTTAGATACACATTTGCACGTGTACGCGTTCGTTCAGACATACTTGTAAATGACGTTACATGTTTCGTTAATTCTATAGGTGAGATGTTTGTGGGCGAAGTTCTTTAGCCAATTTCTCTTTCCTCTATTTTTTTTTTTCCTCTCTCTCTTGTATGGCCAGATTTCTTTACCTATGTGATATTCCGAAGGGGGAAAAATGATTGAAAAGTCAACAGATTCATTGACTTTAACAATAACCAGAGTTTTTCCTCAATGAGAGCTCAAAGGTCAAATGGCATACCACTTAATATTTCTATATATTTTTCATTCTTAAAAGTTTCATGCAATACACTTCACCTTCTGCCAACTTAATTTTACAACTGAAACAGAAAGTAATGGCATTTTCCGGAAGCAGCCTTTGATTCAGACCCACAAATATATGCCCCTACGCTAATAGAATTCTTAACATTACAAGGACAATGAAGTAGTTTAGTACATCAGTTAGCCAGATTAGATTCAAAATTACAGTGGAGGGGTTGAAACCCCTCAAGGTGAAACCCCTAAAGGGCACCCCATTAGTATCTGTAACCCACAGGCATCCCAAGCTTGTCCAACCGACCAGATCCCGGGTAGGCTTTGCTTGCAAAGTTTGTGTGCAAGGCAGACGCCCTCTGAGCACTTGATTTCAATTCGCCAGAGCCATGAATGGAGTACCTCTTTGCAGAGCCAGACCTTTCATACTGAGGCCTCTGCTTTGGAGCACTAAGAGACCTTAACTTCGCCTTTGAAGATTCCGTGCATGCCATGTAGCTCGGGTAATCTGAGTAGCCACTTAGGTAACTTTTCGAGCCATCGCTCCTTGTGGGAGTGAAGGGACTTCTCTTTGAATTACCGCCCCTTGATGAAGCCGAATGAAACTGAGGACTACTGTTGGCAGTGCAGAAAGAGTCTTCCTCAACCTCTCGAGAGAATTTCAATGGAGTTAAAGATTGGACCTCACAAGAAGATGGACTTGGAAGTGTTTGATGACTTGTAGAGTCTTTTGAAGTGGTAAAGCTATGGCTGTATTGGTCTGAAGCCAGAGCAAGATGAGTAGAGTGGAAAAGGTTTCTCCGTTTAGTTGCGATGAATGGTTTCCCAGTATCGATTTCAAGGACCCTGTCATTCTTTTCATCATCTGTAGTGCCATATGATCTGGAGCTATTCCGCTGCAGGATGTAGTAGGCATGAGGATTGCATGTAAGTAGAAAGCATGACAACGCAGATAAAATAAAAGATCTGAGCATACCCTGAGTGTTGAAAATTGCTCGAGTTTTGTACTCCTGGATCGGATCGGATGTTCAATTTTTTCAGGGGTTGCTGGACCCTGCATGTAGAAGAGATTTTTCTTGTTTAAAGAGTAAACAAACATTTGGTGAATGCAGATGATATATTTAGGTCATCAGTGATTCATAAAACACATAAATCAATTACAGACGGTCACATAAATCAATTACAGACGGTCAATTAGAACTCAGATGATAATGGCTAATTAGCAGATAGTCAATCACAACTCAGTTGATCATATCAATAACTAACTAGTCTTTTATTTTTCTGATGAGGTAAAACCAGTGATTGAGAAAAGCCTCAACATCTGTGTAGTAGTAAGCTTTTTAACCATCAACGTGTCCCCTCTAACATGTTATCTGTCTACAAGTTTGATATGGACATTAACTGTTATATCTATTATGCTAGTTGTCAACCTGCCACTCATTTATTTGACAGCAAAAGTAGCGTCCACTGTCCATATGAACCTAAAAAAGTTTGGAAGTTTCTTATAACATATAATTACACATCAATGCAGCATGGAGCTCTTTAAATTTCTACCAAACAACCCTCCTTCACAACATTATACGTGTCTGTACTGAAAAGCACATCCATGAATAGAAAAGCCTTCTAAGTTGTTATGAAAAAAAAAAATGGTCCCCCCACCTGAAGTTCAAATCTATTTGAAAAAAAACTCATATTGGAGGGAAAGGAAAATTTTCCTTACAGGTTGGTGAAATTGAGAAGACTTGGTCCTTGAATGTGAGAGCTCAGAAATTTGGGACCGCCCTGTTCGAGCTCTCGCCTGAGCACGCAAGATTGCTTGCAGCCGCTGCAACCGCGCAGCATTGTTCTTCCTCACAATATGACCTCTTACCAGTGCCTGAAGTCTTACCAATCCCTTTAATGCTCGCAATGCTCTCCTTGCCTTCAAAATATCCATTTGACAAAGTAACTTAACTTATGAAAAACCAATTAAAACGCATTCGAGATAATTCTAAAACTCCAACCAAGTAATAACACAAAATGTCAACTACAACAAAACCAGGATATCAATACCAACCAAATGATTGAATAGCCTAAACTTAAATGACATTATAAATTATGGTGCTGAGGAGCAGGTGCGCGGACCTACACAGAAATTCGAATGGAACAAGCGCCTAAATGAAATTATTTTTTGGCCAAGTACCAAATGAATCTATATCTCTGACATGAAAAAAAAGAAAACAGGGACGTTTCACTACCAGCCCCTGCAAAAAAGCATCCCATTGTTTGACTGTACTGTGCTGTCTACATTTTAATTCAGCATTAAAGCACCCAACCTACACACCCCCCCTCCTCTCTTCCTAAGAAAGTCAATTAGAAAATTCTTTTTAAGGAACCCACCAAAACTTTAAGTGTGCAGGACCCAACAGTCAGAAACGTCAACACGCATGGAGTTGAAAACTTTTGGCCATCCACATCCACTCCTTTAAAATGCATCAATTACAAAGGGACTGTTAATTTAACAACTTGGTTTCTTTAAAAAAAGTCCCATTCTACTCTAAAACCTCACATGACTCGATCGTATTAAATCCTTTTGGTTTCTATTATGAGGAAACATCAAACGCTGTTGGAATTAAAGAACCCTAACAGAAACGGCAAAAGAACTAAGAAACCCAATTGAAATTAAGTCCCTTCCCTTCCAATTAAACTAAGTGTTAGGTGAGGAAATTAAAGAATGGCAAAACCACAGTAAGAATACCAAGACATTGACAATTTGACATTAAAAAAATTGTCATTGGGCAAACCAAATCAACTTACTCTAGAAAAGAAAAGAGAAAAGTTTCAGCCCCACCCATTCTGTGAAAACCGCAACACAACAAAAATGGAAGGCCTCTGAAAACTAAATGACCATGTGCTGTAAGAAAAACCCTTGAGAGGTCCAGTGGTCCACACGGGTTTTTCTTGGAAGAAGGTGGTATAGTACGCACCCCGGTGCATTTTAGCGGGTTTACCTATTTCACAACCTAGAAAAATGTTGGAAGGGTCTCTTTCAGTGTTTGACAGAGAGATGACCCAGAAACGGCAGTGCAAAAGAAGCTGCACGTATTGCCGTTTTGAGGAAAACGACATGGAATGTACAGCTCAAAGTAGCCCAACTGGGTAGGAGATGAATTCTACAACGACGCCGTATGGGACCTTCGGTTACAGAACCAACGTGCAGCAGTTTTCACTGTGTAGTGGTAGAATAGAAGAAGGAACACTAGTTTTTAAGCACGAAGCCTAACGGGAAAGAAGGGACACGTGTCAGCTTCCCGACCCAATCCAGTAACTTAATCAGAAATTAACGGTCAATTAAGAAAACTTGTACCAAAAAAAAATATATATATATATATAATAATAATTCGGCGGTGATACGAACCAAACAGCCTCGGAAAGCAGCTTGAATCTTCAGCGCGGCCCATTCTTCTTCGCGGACCCCAACTCGGGCCGCGCTAACGTGCGCCGCGGGGTTGCTGGGGCACCGTCCGCTCCTCGTCCGG